CGGGTTCCTACACCTTCCTCTCAAGCCTCTAGTGCTGAGCATCGTCAGAAAGAGGGTGCTGAATTACACCTCTACCGCGATATCACGCGACCCGATATAATATGAATTTGGATATAACGCTGTAAAGCAGTGCTCTGGGGGACCAGGGCTGCGCACTCCGGCGGATCAAAGCAAGTTTGATATAACGCGGTAAGATTTTTTGGCTCCCAAGGACAGCGTTATATCAGGGTAGAGGTGTAGCTGGATTTGGGGTCTGATCCAGGCTGGCAGGGTCTGTGTTCCTAACATGGGATCAAACCTCGCCACTCCCAAGTGAGGCTGGTGAGAATCAATATCCCTGTTTAGAGCAGGGGAGCTGAGGCGTTCCCAGGGTCACCCAGGGAGTGTGTGGTACAGCTGTGACAGAACTCAGAATTCTGAGTCTGCAGTCCCAGGTTTTAACCACAGGAACTACCTGGCTGCATCACATCTGTGCAGTGTGACGCTGGCCAAGCCCCTTGGGGTCGGACCCCATGAGGAGCAGAGTCCTCTCTGTACCCGGTGACTTCAGGCCATTAACTGCTAGGTGCATCCCTGCCCTAGCTGTGAAATGGGGATATTCTCCTCCTGACAGGGGGGATGTGAGGGTTCATCGATTAATTACTTAACAGCTTCAGAGCATCATAACAACACTGGGCCTGATTTTCTTTTGTTCGTACCACTCTCAGTGCAAAGGGGTCTGACAGTGGCTGTGCGTTACACTGACGCTCACTGGTAGTCCTCTTTTACACTGCCAGTGCAGTGCAAAGCACCTGTGCCCCACAGTGCAGCTGAGAACAAGGCCCATTCAGTGCTATGTACTGCGTCCAAATGCGAAGTATCAGTGTCACTCTCAATACTTCCTGCCCAGTTCGGGCCCAATCCAAAGCCCACTGAAATCATTGAGAGCCTTTGCACTGACTTTACTGAGCGCTGGAGCAGGCCCCAGGTTTCCAGTTGTGCAGATCTCTGGTGAGTGAAACACAAAGAAAAGTTCATATGCTATTGCTACAAGTTCAAGGAAGAAACTTGGTGGGACCAGTGACATATGGGACTGACTTGCTCAGCTCAATCCTTTAAAATTCAAATGGATTAACTCTGTCATTTTTAAATTGCTTAATCACGTGCCTTGACTTTTAATCTTTGATAGTACAGGCATTTGGATTTTCCTCTATTTAGCTCTAACCAAACTGGTTTTAGACAGACTTGAGGTCTGTCAGGGAAAATCCATTTTCTGAAGCCTTATAAGAAGAGGAGGTGGGGAAAGATACGTGACACTATTTATCTGCACTGATTTGTTCCATCTTTTTATTTGTTTGTTTTAATTCATTGCATGATCCTGCTTAAAATGCACAGTCACATTTACGCATACAAATTTAGCTCCACGTTCGCCATGGAAAAACTGTTCCGCCACTCTTTAATGGTAATTTAATTTTTTAAAATTGCAAATCTGTGATCTGAAATTATAATCTAGTGGTGCAGTTGTTCTGCAGGGCACTCAAAAATGGAGATTCAGAGCAAACTTGTTTGCATAATAATAGCTGCTATGCATGTCTGGATTTTGTCTGTGTGTCTGTTAGCTGCAGATTTCTCCCCTTAGATCTACAGGAAGACAAGGACTCTGATTCTGATTAAGCGATGCCCTAAAAACTTGTTTGCAGCAACTTAGGGCTCTTGCTGTGGAAGCTTTAATCCTTCTTTATATATTAAAAATCACAGGGTTTTTACTAATGTGAGGAGTACATTTCATTTTCCCTTTTCAGCTGTCCAGAGCACAGTGTGGAACTAGCATTTACCAGCTCCCTCCTATGAGCTTGGAAAAAGAATTATTCCACCTAGGCACCTCCAAACGCTTCTGTCCCTTCTGCACAAAAACAAGCCCTTTGAAAACTTTGCTGCAGCATGAATAATTTGGGAATGCTAGGTGCCTGCTCAGCAGATCCTGCTGGGGTGGACCGAATTTCCTTGCTCTGGGTTAACACAGGATTTCAAGGAGACGCATATTTGATGTATGACTTTGCCAGAAGAACTTGATAATGTAGGAGATTTATTAAAGCATTACACAAAGTGTGTTCTCTGTCACAAATTAGACGACTCTTCTGCATCCCTGCTGTAGAGTCTTTCTCTTTGAAGGCCTTGGGGTTCTGTCAGACATAAAAATAAATGTGGGAAGGAGTTTTGTCTCTAGCAGAATTGGGAGCACTAAGGGGCAAGCGGCTTAATTAACCAAGAGGGAGGTTGGTACTGGCCACTCCTAGAAGCATGAAACAAATGCGGTTTGAATCACAGTAATGACTTTGCTTAAAATGCAAAATTATTAATGCAAGAAATAGCATGAAATTGACCCTCAATGCAATTTCAAGTAATTGTTATTTCCAGTTTTCTTTTTGTCTCAACGGCACTTTTCTTGTAACTGAAACTGAAATAACCAGGTCTGGAGTTTAACTGCTCTCAGCCTATTTCTAAGTGGTGGTTATTTTCAGCCATTTAAAAACTGGAATATTTATAGTGCTAAGTACTTGCCATCAGAGGATGTTATTTATTTATTTTGTATATATGAGACAATGTTGATGTTACTCTCTCCGTTCCTGAGCTATCCTAAGACAGTTGGCAGAGATACTGTCGCTTACAGACAGCCCCCCAACCTGAAGCAAATACTCACCAGCAACCATACACCACACAACAAAAACACTAACCCAGGAACCTATCCTTGCAACAAAGCCCGTTGCCAACTCTGTCCACATATTTATTCAGGGGATACCATCATAGGACCTAATCACATCAGCCACACTATCAGGCTCGTTCACCTGCACATCTACCAATGTGGTATATGCCATCATGTGCCAGCAATGCCCCTCTGCCATGTACATTGGCCAAACCAGACAGTCTCTACGCAAAAGAATAAAATGGACACAAATCAGACGTCAAGAATTATAACATTCAAAAACCAGTCGGAGAACACTTCAATCTCCCTGGTCACTCGATTACAGACCTAAAAGTTGCAAAAAAACTTCAAAAACAGACTCCAACAAGAAACTGCAGAACTGAAATTAATTTGCAAATTGGATACCATTAAATTAGGCTTGAATAAAGAATGGGAGTGGGTGGGTCATTACACAAAGTAAAAACTATTTCCCCATGCTAATTTTTCCCCCTATTGTTACTCACACCTTCTTGTCAACTGTTGGAAATGGGCCATCCTGATTATCACTACAAAAGTTTTTTTCTCCTGCTGATAATAGCCCACCTTAATGGATTACTCTCGTTATAGTTGGTATGACAACACCCATTTTTTCATGTTCTTTGTGTATATAGATCTTCCTACTGTATTTTCCACTACATGCATCTGATGAAGTGGGTTTTAGCCCACAAAAGCTTATGCTCAAATAAATTTGTTAGTCTCTAAGGTGCCACAAGTACTCCTCGTTCTTTTTGCTGATATAGACTAACACGGCTGCTACTCTGAAACCTGTCACAGTGACTAATAGTTATTCTCTCTCTCTCTCTCTCTCTAACCATCTGACCTTTGTCATGGGCCCATTATCATAGTATTTAGGCACCCTGTCACCTCCGGTCTGTGTCTTAGCTGGTCAGCATGCTGGTTTCCTGGTGCCACTGGCACGTGTACTGTATTGTTCACTTGCATTTGACTGACCTGAGGACCAAGCAGGTCCTTCACCCTTCAACACTCGTCCTGATTTCTCGTTCTATTTCCTGCCCGAGAGCATGAAGCAAGGGTAGTGCCAGGGCCGGCTCCAGGCACCAGCGCAGCAAGCAGGTGGTTGGGGGCGGCCAAGGGGAAGGGGCGGCACGTCAGGCTCTTCGGCGGCGGTTGCTGCTGTGTTTATGCACATATTGATTGATTGCTGGCTAGACTCTTTGGGAAAGTTACTGAGCAAGCAAAGCAACTGTCCTAAATATTCTTGGGGGAGGGAAAACAGTCCCCAAGTTGCTAACCTGGGAAGAGTTCATTCCTTGGAAGTGTATTTTATTGTGGAGCAATTAGTGCCCCACATGGAACTTGGGCCTGTGGGCGATGGGGGTCTCTCTTCTTTAAGTCCACAAATCTTTTATTCCCACTTCCTGAGAGGTTGATGGCTGTTATCAAACAAAACAGAGCATTAGCAGTTGGGAGCAGAATGTTTGTTTGGGGCGGGAGGTGGGAGGGTTGTTTTTTTAACAACTATGAAACTAACTTGGGCCTTTTCCCTGCCAGTGGAGCTTAGTTCCAGGAACAATCAACCTCCCAGATTTTCAGAGTATTGGGCAAGGTTTATCTGAGACTACCACTAAAAAAAGGGAGAGAAGGAGAATCAGGATTTCTATGCTAGCTCAGACCAAGGTCCATCTAGTCCAGTATGCTGTTTCTGGCAGTGGACACCACCAGATGCTTCAGAGGAAGGCATAAAAGCTCTATAATGCACAATGATCTGATAATTTGCACATAGGGGAAGTTTTGCCCTAACCCTATGCAGTTATTGAGTTACTTATTTCCTGGAGCATTAGGTTTTATATCCCTTATACATTTTTATCCTATCTTAAGTACAGCAATTGTGGAAGTTCCAGTTGTTCATATAAATGTCTAATCCTTTGTTATTAAATCTTACCTGGGATGGAAATCTTTCTTTGCCTCTAATAATTTGTGTTGCCATTCTCTGAACCTTTTCCATTTCTGCACCATCTTCATGGAGCTGGGCAACCAGGACTGAATGCAGCATTCAAGATGAAGTTGTACCATTTATCTCTATATCTGATGGCTTTACAATATCTCCAGGATTAAACTCTGTTCCGCAGTCATGGTGAAAGCTCTGTGAAATGTTCTCTGAATGTAGGAGTTACTCACTAAAGGTTTCCCCCTCTCGCATCCCAGGACTGATATTTATCAAGGGGGCTGATAAATCTCATTCAAGTTTTGGTTCTCTCTGCTGTCCAGTAAGAATGTTTTGATTGTTGCCTCACCAGTTTTCGCTCTTCCTTCACAGAGTCGGAAACATGCGAGCAAAGTGAGACTTTACTACATGCTACATCCCATAGACGGAGGCTGCCCGGCCAAGAAGCTCCGATCAGAAAACGTGAGTATGTTTCAGAGCCCTATTCTGCGCTGCTTTGTGAATCTGTGACCTGTGCAAAGGCATGTACCACTTGTGACAGCATCAGATAATCACATACCCAGAAGTACCAGTTGGGGTAGCTGAAATGCTAAGTATCAGAGGGGTAGCCATGTTAGTCTGGATCTGTAAAAAGCAACAGAGAGTCCTGTGGCACCTTTAAGACTAACAGATGTATTGGAGCATAAGCTTTCGTGGGTGAATGCCCA